GCATTTGGCCTGAGAGGGTTCTGTACTTAATCTGAAAACAATAACGAAATGTTTTAAAAAGTTATTGAAAAACATTGCATCGTCTTTTGTATTTCATCTTGCGTATCAACTAAATTATTTTTCATCATAATCAATAAATCAATTATTATTATTCATCATGAAGGATAAAGTTATGAATCATGCAAACTTCATACGTTTGAAACATTGAAATCCAAAAGTACATGCGTCGGGTGAGGATGGAACTCACGATCTTCAGATTACTCTCATTATGTGTGATTATGAGACTGTCGCGCTGCCAACTGTGCTACCGAGGCACTTGAATACACTTAATAAATAAATATAGATTTATCTAAGTGGTATGTCTACTAAGATGTTAACACGATATTTTGACATATTGAGTTCCAATTTTTCTTCAGACCACTTATTCTTTTAAAAAGTCAAAGATGCTGGTAGGGGTATTATTCGCCTTTAGTGATAGGTCTATGTTATGTTGTTAACATTTTGTATTACAATGGTCTTCAACCGAGTCAAACATTTTTAGGTTTAAAGAAACGTATGGCATATTAAGTCTAAAAAAAGACATTGTTTTCTTTCTCAAAAAGGGCAAACTTGCGTTTGTTTCATGTTGTAATTATAATGGATATTGAACAATTGAAATGCTTATCCTCTGATCATGCTGATAGAAAAAGCGCTGAATGTAAATGTTTTGACAAATAAAGCAACACTGATGTAAACAAAATACGTATTCTCTAAATGTGTACTAATTTTCAATATAGCAAAAGAAACTATAGATAGTTCAGCTATCTGACAAATTGATATCTTTTTGAAAACCTTACAAAGCAAATACATTGTAGAATAATTTTTTACAAAAATGGCATTTGCATTTTCGAGGCTTAAAGGGATACTCAGGCAAAATAATGACAAAAATATTAAAATGATCTTATGTACTCAAATCACGCTAAAATGACATTTTAAAGTCTCAGTATGAATTTATGTATAAATTCTATATATTTTAGTTTTGAAGCGTAAGTATATCTAAATATATTAAACTAAATTGAGACGCCAAGAGAATCACCGAATAGTTTTATAACAAGTCATGTGACATGAACAAATCCTGGAAGTTACATTGACAAATATTGTGAATATTGTATGATAGAAACAAGTCAAAGTCAATCATTTGACAAGTTCTTTAACATTTCCAGAGTTCATTGTGACAACTATTGTGAAAACCTAGCGCTCTAACCTGACCCGCGCGGGTCAAGTTAGGAAACCGCCAATTTATTTTTATATGGAGAAACGTTTTGTTCCTTTGACTGTCTAATGTATTTATTTTGAGGACATTTACAAAATAATGAATGAAAACTTCCAAACTAAGAAATTAAAATTTTGCCTGTGTCTCCCTTTAATCTGCCTTTAAAAACTTTTTCTATACTTATTTGCCTATGTAACTTGAGATTTTAAGTTCCTTTAAACACAATATATCGTATACGTTTTTCCCAGGACTATTGTGTCACAAAATGAAAAAGTAATAAAAAGTCTGTCTTATACTGATTTTAACATTTTAGGATTAAGACGAAAAGTATTCATAATTTTCCTGTATACTGTATATTCATATTGTCTGGGACTTACGTTGAGGTAAATAGTTCTATAAACAGACGGCGATATCTGCATGCTTTCTATCCAAATCGCATTTAAGAAAATAATTTTATTTCAAGATAAATAAAATGATTAATCGCTTGCTTCTTTCATCCCATTATCCGCCAACTATACTTTCAAGTCTTTATTTTATCTTATTAGAAAAGTTCACTAATAAAGAAAAACACGAAACTGCATCATTATGTTTTATGCCATTCTTTTACGACATCATTCCTTTTATAATATTATTTAAAGGCACATTATACCTAGAAATGCTTTTATTTTTATTTCTTAAAAGTTGTGTAGTTTGATGTACTTTTATAGTTTTCATTGGCCGATGACTTGAACAATCAGTTTCGTTTGTTGTTTGTTGGTAATTAGTAAAATTACAGTGAATTAGTATATATTGTATAAAAGTCAAAATATTACTTTGTTTACATTTTGCTACTTTTATGACAAACAATGTTACATTCAGCGCTTCTTTCTTTCTTCAGGCCATAAGCGTCTAATATGCTCTTAAACTATTATTCAAAGGTTATAAAACTGATGTTAATATTTTTGTAAATAGAGAAAACAATTATATGTCTTTGAGGCGATACTAATCTCATCTTTAGGTAAAACAAATTCACTTCATAATTTAATTTAAATCAATGACATTCTCAGTGAATTTTCGTAATTTGATATGCAAAAAAATGTATTCTTCCCTATATTCTGGTCAAGTTAATTTGTTACTTTCTTTAAAAGAAATTAAGTTATTCGGTTTAGTAAGTATTTTATCCTTAACTTGCTTCATTCTTTTAACTTATTCGTCCGGCATTGGTTTTGGAAAAAAATTCATTTAAGGGATTTCTAATATTATCATAATACAAAACTTGCTTGGTCAGACTGCACGAATGCTAAAACATTTACGTATATTGTCTATTTTAGAGCTCTTAATAAGATTATAGGTAAATCGATAAAAATAAACCATAATGGTTACTTTTTGATGAAAAAAAGAATAGAACATAGTTACGATTACAAAATATATTCTCACCATTTTAAACTAACATGATTGCTTTTAAAAAGTGACTTGCATAACATGATTTTATTCAACTCTTTCAATACACTCAGTATTAAATCTACAATCCTTCAATAGCCTCTATAGAACCACGTCTGTATTAGTCAGATCAATTCATTTCATTGACCAGACAAAGCTTTTAACATAATATCGAAGTTGCTTTGTAAATAACAACGTTGTAGTTTTGGTTTATTATGTATTTATAATTATGAATAATCATCTGGCTAGCCATTTTTATTGCGCTTTGCTATCGTATTTGTTAGTCAAGAGACAAAAACTGAATATTTATCTTAAGTTTATAGACATAATCATACAGTATATGTTGTGGTAAATTTATAAACAAATAAAAGAAGAAATCAAACACTCATGCTCAACATAAGTAGAATTTAAAGTGAATTGTCAACACAATAAAATTAAAGGCATAAATAATTAAGGTGATAGTCTTAAGTATCATACCTGACAAGAAATCACATAGAAAGATTCGATATTATATATCTATACAAAGGACATGATAATTTATTCTTGAACAAAAGAGCATTAATCATCATTCAAATGTTTACACTTAATGAGCTTAAACTTTATCAACATTTTTGTTAAAAAAAATTTATAAGAAAATCCAAAAGATACAATTGTTTATTAATGATTAAAATTTGAAAAAAACTTTTGGAAAATGTAGACCAATCCATTAATTTAATTACGTTTAACATGTAGACAATAACTAAAAGCAATTGAAGCATTTACTACATTTAAATTATTGAATATTGTATAAGTGGATATTGGTTGATGCGTCACAAAAATGTTGCGAATGTCAAAACGTGGACGTTTTGGGTGCGGACATATTTGCGAAAATATGACTGAAGATATATCGTGTTATAAACTTTGACATCATTTATCCATTAGAATCAATCAAGTCAAATATCTACACAGTTTGTCTTTTCTTGAAATTGCTACAAGCCTCAAAAATAGCCAGAATGAACGGAAAATGCAACCGCTGTAGGCAGAAAAGTATTTTCCAGGCTGCCGCTGTCGGTCACATGTAGATAAAAAGGAATATGTTGGTTAGTTACGATCCAAGGAAGCCAGTTTAGTGAGGACAGAAATGTTCTCAAAGTGGTTAACACTCCCGAGTTAAAATCAATATCACTCTATTATTAATTTATTTATGTATAACAAGTGCAATTGATCTTTAGTGTTAGATGTTTTGATTATGATAACTGAAGTATATTATAAAATGATTTGATTGATAAGCTGTGATGTAAAGCGTTCTCGAAAATCTTAAGTGATCATCTTTCAAGTAATATGCATTATTCCAAATTACTTGACTTTCTGTGTGTAAGTGCATTTGTTAACCAGCAAATAAGTATCCTGTGACTAACAAGACCGGGCCTTATTTTCGATCGGTTATTTCAATATTTTAAAAGACTTAACTGAATAAATGTAGGAATTAATAGACCACGATGTCAATATGATAAATACAACAATTCATCTAATTTCTAGGTTGTGTGCTACAAGGTTTGCACGATTTCCAGTTGTTTTGTCTCTTTACTATGTGACTTAGTTAATTGGTCAGTGAATATAATTATGCATGCTTAAATGTCGAATCACTTATTAATTTGTAATGGCATGGCTAGACACAATAAGGAGAGTATCGTGATAGTTATTCAGTGGCTAGTTTAGCCCTCGGGGGTGGAGTTAATTCTCATTGACAATTGGTCACAGCCATTGAGTTTTTCACCGCTGATTTACAACTGACATGAGTTAAAATGTCGGTCACTTGCCGAGAATAGGTCAGGAATCAAATAGGTCTTGATAACTATTTGAAACGCTTCATTCACGCAGAAGGAATTGTTTTCGCCCGTTTTGTGTTTAGCTGAAATCTTAATCCAAATAAGCGCCACTTTGACTCATAACAAAAAAACGCATCATTATATTCAACGCTATCAATGTCTCTTCATGTTTGGTTATAACACAAATGGTAAGTATCGGGTGTCACAAACAAAATGGTTACACGGTATGTTAAACCAATCATATAATTATAATTCTCACCGAAGACATTTTATGGCAAGGCACATACAGCATTTTGTTCAAATGTTAGTAACAAAATTCAAATGCGATAAAGCATTTTATAAAATAAACTTTTGAAAGTCTACGGTAGTGCTTTAATGAAATTATTGTCTTATTTTGCCTGCCCCTATCCTCCCAGTGTAAAAATCAAACATATTGGCGAAAACAAAATTATATGAAGAAATAACTGTAACTCAGACTTTTTCTTATCAATATATACAATGAAATAATTACAAAAAAGGTACACAGTAATCCTTTCTTTTTACTCTTTCTTTGTTAATAAAATATAAGTTTTTTAACATACAGTAATAAAGTGTACATAACATATAATAAACTTCTGTCCAGATAATACAAAAGCAAACAGGTTTTTTTTCACACACGAAACACACGCACACACACGCTCATCGGCACCCATACACCCACATTTCCAATTCATAAATACCCACAGGATTTACAACTATACATATTTAGAACATAACGCACACACAAAACAGCACACATACCTTTCCGGTACCATCAGCAATACGATACTCGAATTAGTGTAAACTAATATTTAAACAAAAACAAAACGGGAAAGTAAAGAGGGTGAAAGTTAAATATAAAAGAACAAGAAAAAAACAACAAAAGATACATCGAAAGTTTCTGAATGCTTTTAAACATAATTGTTTTTTATTTCATGTTAGTAAGACATTTCCCATCTTTTTCCTACGTTTAAGCATCCATTTTCTTCTGTACAAAATAATACAAATGATGCAAACTATTGTTATTGTCTCAAATGCAGTGACAGTCGAAGATATAATAAGTTTACGGTTACATATTTTTTGAATTCTCTTTATAGCAGACTAATCGATATTTATCGAAGTTTCATCCTCAGACATACACATTAAGTCCTGTTGCTCCTTTTGCAACTGCTTTAAGTTAACGAGCCATTTGATAGAAGACTTGCGGGCACATTGTGAGCATAGAAATGGGTTTGATTTCATAATGAGTGATCGTTACATGTGTTATATATTCGCATCTGGGAAAATTCTATTCCATTTTTGAAAATGAATTTCAAGTTAATCGCGATTAAATGTTATACATTTTTCAATACATAGTCAGCTCAAAATATAATGTAAAATGAGTTAAATTGTGGTGTGCGTTATCCTTTTTTACAACTATATATGTAATTTTTAGCCACCAAAAGAATAAAATTGTGTATCTGTGCTTGTAATTAAGTGAGATATTGTTTTCAAGTTTCTAAACTAATATTCTTTATTTTTGAAATATGCTATTAAAGTTTTTTTAACAGAGTGTAAGTATTATGTATTCATTCTATATCTAAACCTGCGTCTTTTCCAGCAATGAATTACATACGTTTCCCCATGTGGTACTAAGAACAAATTCATTATTGTCAACTTTCCATAAAATGCGGACATTTCTTCTGTACAAACTTTTCAATGAAGGCATCATTAACTCCTCCTCTACATTTCCTAATATCATCAAAACAATTGGTTTCCCCTGCATATATGCCTGATTAAACTCGTTTTGGCAATATGAACTACGACAAAAGTTATCTGACAATAGAAGGATGACAACGGAAGCTCTGTCCAGGCATTGTTCTGTTTCATCAAGTAAAGTGAAACCAGGTCGAAAATATTGGTCTCCAGTACATATAAGATTTCGATCTGTTTCAATTACCAGTTTAAGATTCTCGTTAAGTTGGTTAATCACGTGGTCTTGTACAAATTGGTAATCACCGCTACTGTATGAAAGAAAGGCAACAAACTCGTACTGTCCCTCACCCTCTTTAAACCTGGCTAAAACATTTTCCATCTGTCTCCTACGTTTAAGCATCCTTTTTCTTCTGTACAAAATAATACAAATGATGCAAACTATTGTTATTGTCACAAATGCAGATACAGTCGAAGATATGATGATAAGTTTACGGTTACATATTTTTTGAATTCTCTTTATAGCAGACTCATTGATATTTATCGAAGTACTATCCTCAGACATACACATTAAGTCTTGTTGCTCCTTTTGCAAGTGCTTTAAGTTAACAAGCCATTTGATGGAAGACTTGCAGGCACATTGTGAACAAAGAAAAGGGTTTGATTTCATTATGAGTAAACAACGATCGCCAAAAGATGAATGCGACCCTACGCAAGGAACATCATTGAGACTTCTTATAGATATCTCGTCCAGGACTTTAATGTTATTGTTACTTACATCTAACTGGCGTAGATTATGCAAGTCCATCATATCAAAATGTAATTGTTCAAGTTGATTGAATGAAAGATCAATTACTTCAGTGTTTTTGTTATACTTGAAAAAAGTTTTAGGAATCTTTGGAAGGTGATTGTTTGCTATGTTTATAATACGTAGTTTACTGTGATAGGCAAACAACTTTTCAAAAAGGTGTTCGTTGTTTTCTAGCATTTTAAACAATTTATTATTAGATAGCTCATATATTTCTAAATTTGGAAAACATTTGCTTGGACGTACCATTTCCAGCCCATTATATGAGATGTCGACATGATAGAGGGAAGTAAATTTGAAAATTGGACATACCAAAATAGCATCCAAATATTTAAAATTATTATTCCTACCAACGAATTGTTTAACTTTCCAGTGTAATGGTACATCAATAATAAGTGTAGAGTTATAAATCCATACTGACACCATGGAAGGTAATATCCCGCTCGCATTAACAACTGAAGGAGTGAGGAAGTTTTCAATATGTAAATATCGACCTTTATCGGTAACCTCTGAATATTTGAATACCATGTTTTTTCCCACATATTTTCCAGGAATGAGAGAAACAGCGCTTACTGGTAAGACAGCATTACTTATATCAATGACTTCCAATTGAATCAAATTGTTTTGTTCGACATAAAATCCAGATAGATCTGATAGAATTGAGTATGATACATTCAAACTCTTTAGAGAACTGAATGATTGAATAATCCTGCTATTATTTACGAAGGTAATTTGATTTCTGCTTAAATCAAGTGTTGATATTTGTCTTGGTGGTATATAGTCCAAATCTGTTTGACTAATGACGTTTTCGGCCGAATACGACCCTATTCCAGACATGATAAGCCTCTTTAAGGCAGGTAAAGCACTTTTCATTTTCAGAGTTTTTAAAACATCTGCAACGAGAAGTCGGTAACATTTGCTTACATCTAATGTATGGACTGAAGATAAACCCACAAACGCGTTTTCATCAAGTTTGAAATCTCCTAAATGAATTTTCAATTCCTTCAAAGCCACCAATCCTTTAAAGCATTCACGAGAGAAGGTACCGAAATATTCATTTTCTGTTATGTCATTGAACTCGATGGTAAGCACTTTTGCCCAGCTTTCATGAATGAAACTTGAACTATTGAGTAAAACGCTTCTTTCATCTCTTATACAGTCTATAAAACGTACGTGTACGTATTGTTTGAACAAGAGTTTAGGTATGTAATTACATACAAGTGTTTTACGGTTTTGTTCCTTACATTGTTTGTGGGTTCTCTTTGTATTCCCAAATTCCACAAGCAAAAGATACATAACAAGTACTCCAACACAATATCTTTTCATTATATTGATCATGGTTTCAGTTTATAACACGCAATCCCTTTTAATGTAATTATCTGTATAATAAATCTTTAAACATACATATTAGGTATTTAGATTATTATCAATTATCTCAATAGAGATAATTTCACTTGACGTTATTTAAACGACTTTAAAACCAGATATTCCTTCACGTGCAACGACGCTCACACTCTTTTATTTCTGTAATAGATCCTTTCACGGCAAAAAAAACTACAATTTTTCGCTTTTATTCAGTGAAATAAACCACAAGTGTCCTATATATTGCTAACAAGGAAGTTTTCATAACGACCGACGAGGGTAGATATAAAAGAATAGGAGAGTATTCAGTTTCATAAGTTGTTATAAACTTTTTCATGGATCGCACCTGTATAGGAATGTTTCAATCAGTGCGCTCTTTGTTGTATATACACTTATTATATAACAAGTCTTTGTGTTATTCTCCCGATATTCAAAGAGAAACGCCTGACTTCGTGATCTTTACTCGCACTTCGTAGTTTTAAATTACAGAATGAAACATGAAACCATTCTGATCTTAATCTCTAAAGTGTCGGTCGATTTGATA